AGAACACAGGGTGAAGAAGGAATGTGCTGGCCACTGCAGAAGTAGCCACTGAAAACCTAATGCACACAATGGAAACATTGCCAGATACTGATGGCCTAGTGTATCAAAGCAGATCATCGTTGGAGATAGTGCTGGAGCCGGGCCCCTGGGATCCAAAGGCACTAATAATGTGATTAAGGAGGAACTGTTTTTCTCAAAGTGGAGGCCACTCTGGTGACACGAATGGAGGAGGAACGCTTGTGGGAGTGGAAACTTTGAGACCTTCATTTGGTGATGGGGAACAGCTCAAAGTAATAAGGAACAGCTGAAAAAAATCTACTAGTGATCAGAACTTGGAATGTGCCAAGTATGAATCTAGAAAAATAAAAAGTTGTCAAAAATGAAATGCATTTAGACGAATATCCTAATTGTCAGGCAGCTGAAAGGAACTGATATTGGCCATTTTGCATCAGAATATCGTGTGATTCAGTAGGACCGGAATGACCCAATCTAGAGGAATGGCTTTGCATTCATGTCAAGAAGGACATTTTAAAAGCAATCTTAAAGTACAATGCTGTCTGGGATAGGATTATATCTATCTGCCTTCATGGAAATCTCATCAATAAGCTATTATTCAAATTTATGCAGCAATCACAAAAGGTAGTGATGCAGAAATTGAGGAATTGTACTGAAATCTAAAGCCTGTAATTGATAAAACATGCAATAAAGATGCATTGATAGTTATTGGAATGCAAATATTTGAAACAAAGAGGAAGGCACCGTCTTTGGAAAAAAGACTTGGTGATAGAAAAGAAGCTGGGGATGATATGGTAGAATTTTGCAAGACCAATCACTTGTTCCTAGAAAATACTTTTCTTCCACAACACAAAAAAGGCAACTATAATCCAGATGGAACACTGAGAACTCAAATTGACTACATCTATAAGAAGAGATCACGGAGAATCTCATTATCAACAGCTAACCCAGGTCAGGGGCAGACTGTGGAACAGACAACCAATTGCTCACAGAAGAGGTCAAGTTAAAACTGAAGAAAATGAAAATAAGTCCATGAGAGCCACAATGCAACCTTGAATCTATCTCACCTAAAGAACAGCTCCACAACAGAATTGCTGCATTGAACACTAATGAGAGCAGATCTGATGAGCTGCAGAAGGACATCAAGAACAGTGTTCACGAAGATAGCAAAAGATCATTAATAAGAGAGGAAAGAAAGAAAAGGTGAAAAGTGGATGTCAGAAGAGACTCTGAAACTTGCTATTAAGTATAGAGCAGCTTAAACAAATGAAAGAAATTATAAAGACAAAGAGCTAAACAGAAAATTTCTATGTGAAGCTCCAGAAAACA